TAATTAAAAACATCTTTTTAAAAAAAGTAGTAAGAGCTTGAAATTTTGTGGTTGATTTTAGCTTGTATGCACTGTATCAATAATAATACATGTAACGATACGAGTAATTTTTCTTGGTAATCATACCATTGATTTCCACATTTAGATATATACGTAGTCAGAAACATGTGGTGCCCCTTAATCAATACCCGTTACAGCCGAAACATGATATAAGTTCTATCACTATCGCTATTCAAGCGATAGAGCATTTAATAAGCTTAACGTTAATAATAATAATAATAATAATAATAATAATCTTTTTCCCAACGAAAATGAACAATTTTGTGTTGTTTTTTGTGACGATAATGGGCATGATGATTAGTTTTGCTGCTGCGTGGGGAAATAGTGAGTAATCTTTGTCGTTTGCTTCTGTCTTTCTTTCTTATTTTTTATTAACATTTTACCATTGAATAGTTCATTGTGGTAGTCAAAGAGTCGTTTGTCCAGAATGTCCAGAAAATACGCAATGTATTTACTACCAAACTCCACAAGGCTGTACTGCGGCAACATGTGGATGATTGTAAGTTGATTGTTTTATAAAAAATTCACGGCTTATAATCTTTATTAATAATGTTTAACTATTTGTACTCTCCGTTTCTCCGCATCCATTATTCTATTTTTTGTATTCTCTATATTAAACCAAAATTGCAGCTATTAATCATATTTTTAATCCGGCCTGTGTTATTTATTATCTATCGCTATGTACGTAGCTATACAACTTTACAATAATTAAATTTTTTTAGCAATCAATTATTTATTTGATATATCAAATTTCATCTTTACATAAAGAAATACGTAGACCCAATGCTCAGCATTCGGCAAACTTTAAACGCCAATTATAACACCCATCAATAAATGCGCCTAGCCTTTTAATTTTGAAAATAGTTATCAATTTTCAGAGTTATTCGTAAAAAACACGGATCAATTATTTGCAAACTTTGAATGCAAACTTGATCCTAGTGATTGCAAATTATTCTTTTAACAAACAATAAATTCATAAAACAATTACTCGAATTTCTAGTCTAATGTAACAAGTAAATGATGACAATTTTGCAAGTTTTTTTTATTATATTTCATTTAATTGTATTTTGAAAGTGTCTCTGAGTAGAACATTATGCCCCTAAATATCAGTACTTGGTGTGCTCTCTTTCCGTGTCAATGCAAGTTCGGATATAATTTAATGTTCTAAAAGTTTTGTAACTTGAATGTTTTTAACTATAAAAAAACTGAAAGTCGTGATAATTCGATAAATATTATTCTGATTAAAATGAAATTACTGCCCAAATGTTCGTCTTATTGAGGTGAATATAATAAGACTAAAATTACAAAAATCTGATCACTGGTTAACGAGAAAATAAGTTTTGAAAATTTAAAAACCTGTAATCGGGGCGAAAATGATGGCTGGGCTCATTAGATTTTTTTAATCTTGCTAGAAATTTAGCACTATTATTTTGCTTTATAAAAATGTTAATAATTTATATAACAATCTCGCCGGTGACTGTATTTTTGAATAATACTATGGGTACTGTAGGCAGTGCTCTAAGGAGTCAATTGCAGGAATGATAAAGTTAACAGAAGCCCTATCGCTATTACTATCGCTATGGCTCACAATCGGTGATTAACGTAAAACTGTTTTTTATTTCGATCTCATATTTATTAACCTCTTAAATTATTGACAACTGGGTGATAACGATAAGCCCAAATCCCAATTTGAATTTGGGGGCAAACTGCTACCCGAAAATTTGTGGGCATACGTACATGTATCGTGTATAACGATACCGATACTGGTTAAAATATTAAGCCACAGTAATGTGAAAATATTTTGCGAGAATCACGTACGTACGCACGTAGTTTGTTTCTGATATTCGGATATTATTTTTTATGCACTGACTACCGTGCATTATTAGTAAATTTTCGATTTTAAAAAGTACGTATCTAGTTTTTTTTTATTTAACTAAATTTTACTTGACAACAATATTCGTCTAAAATAATAATAATAATTTAATAACGTGTATGTGATCCTTTAGCTTTAATAACAGCTACAACTCGTCGCGACATACTGGAAATTAAATTGCGTACAACATCCAAAGGCACTTTTTTGCCATTCTTCCTTCAATGCATCAATTAAATCCTTTTTGAAGGTTTTCTAATGACTCAAAAAGAGCTTCTTTGATAATAAAGCCTTTTAATATAGTTATTAATTTCTTTTATTATCTTACATTAGTTTATTTAGTTTTAGTTTATGATCTCTCATTTTAATTGTGATGTCATGATAAATTGGTTTAATAAAAATTGAATTATTAACATTTTACTTGTCTATAAACTAATTATTTGTTCAGTTATTATTTTAAATACCTTGGTGTGATGGAAGATTTAGAGCACAAACATGTTATTTATCCAGCAAGTAAAATCATAAATATAAAATATTATTTTTAACTAATTTTATTTAAAACAGAAACAAGTGTTCAAGTTGAGTGAGTATTTTCGTGTGGTTCCGATTTAATATCTCATAGAAGGTATATCATCACAATCTTATACAATATACAGCAAGCAGACACAATACTTGTTACTATTTTTGTTTCTACTTCAATTTGTATGTAAAATTCTCCAATGTGATTTAAGAATACCAAAGATTTGTTCAATTTTGATATGAGTTACTTAATGTGCATAATTATAATATGTTGTATTGTTGTAAGATGTCAAGCCAATTAGTATTTGCATAATTACTATTACCAAGTACTTACATGTATATAAGAATTTGATGACCCTGATCATGTTAAAGAATTAGAAACTTTTGATAAAAACTTGAATTACATAAAACTCGAGGATCATGAATAGTGCTTATCTAATCATAATAAATATCAAGAAATTTTCATTGATGATTGCAAACTAGCACTATAAACTTTTTTAGATTGAAGTAATCAGCTGCATCTTTGGATGGAGATTTAATTGGAATATGACTTACATCTATCATTCCAATAACACATGGAAATCTTTTTATTGTTGTAAAGCCCTTTAAAGCCATTCATTGTTTTAAGAAATCTTTTTTAAAGATATTTTTATTTAAAATGTAATTTTTAATTAATTTACAATACTGAATTTTTCTAAATTTTTTATTAATAGCCTCAATAAAATTTTGATGCATAATGAAATGTTCTCATAGTTCTGATATGACATGCGAAGTTCCATCACCACCAAATTGTTGCAGCAAATTTTTGTTTTAAAGGTAATCACGTAAAGATGTTTCTGTCTCCAAATCATTTATAAAAGGAAAGAGTGAATTAAATAACTACTCAAATGTTTTTTAAATTCCAAATCTGACCATTTCAAACTTATAAAAATTCACTCTGTACTTCTCTGTCTAGTCTTTTGATGTTAATTTTAATATGCTTTTTTCTTGCTCTGTTTATAAAACTTTAATTACATTGTAATAATATCAAGAGTATAATTTCAGATTCTTCTGACAAGGAAGTAGATCTTGAAGACGACGAAGATTCTCTCATAATTGAATAAGTGCAAGTATTGCTGTGAATTCATGATTCGTTATATTATTATTTGATACGTTATCATTTATTGCTACATTATCCATTTTTTTTATTTAGATTGTACATGTACAATGAAGAAAACAGAATCTAAAATGCATGATGCAGATACATGTACGTATTGGTTTGGTTTAGAGGTTTGGATTGCGTCAAACCAAGGTTAATCCAAACCTCTGTGTGAAGACACCCAATGACTTAAAAAGAATTGCATATTTTTGATGTTATCGTTATTGTTTTTTATTTTCTTAGTGCGATAATCACGTGTCGTTATATAAAATATAGTTTATAATAATTAAACATTACATACACAAATATTCTTATAAGATTATAGTAATCCTTGTTCCAATTACGTACATGTAATTACAACTTGTAATATTAAGGTTAAAATTTTCGACACTATCTTATCAGGTTTATTTTCTAAATGTTAATGTTGACCCACTTTTTAATTGTGTTTGACTCATAAAACTGCTACTGTCAAATTGCACATTTTTTACATGCACAAAATGTGTACGTGCTGTATACGTTCAAGCTCGTACAATTTCAAAAAACTACTGCATTCTGCAAAATTCTGCATTTTCTGTGTTCCATTTTAAGTACATGTACAACATTCCATGATTTCTGCATAAAAATTGTCGTCGCACTGTACCTGATTGGTTAATTAGGCAATTAGCCAATCAGATTCAAGAGTAAGTGCATCGTATTCGGTATTCATTCTAAGTGATGCTTTTAGAAAATTTACATTTTATAAAAGGGGTTGTGATGTTTGCAATGAATAATTAAAAAATGGGATGTTGCTGCTCTAGACGCTTTATTGCAGAGGAAGATGGAAAAATGAAGTTCCGCATTATCGATGGTAGACGATTTCATAATATTTCGAATTCAGAGTATTTTATTCCGAATGATGATGAAGAAGCTGATCGTTTAATTAGATATCATGATGGTAAAAAAAGATTTGTTTTAATATCGAGCTTTTTATAGAAATTTTTTATTTATAATAGGAATATACAAATTTTAGCAATGAAAGGTTTTTGGGAAGGATTGTTTCATTCGCCTGTTGAAGAGAAATTGAGACAAGGCGCTCGTGTTATTGATTTGGGGTATGCAATTGGGTTATATTTTACTATAAAAGCTAAATTCAAATATGCTACTAATACTTGTCATGGTATTTAATATATAATAAATCAATAGATGTGGAACTGGAACTTGGATCTTGGTAAACAAATTTTATTTTCTTTCTTAGAAATGGTTAAACTTAATCAATATATTAATTTGTAAATATAGGATATGGCAAAACAATATCCCAATTCAATGTTTGTGGGAATAGACTTATCTCAAATTTTTCCAACAGAAGGTCTTCCTTCAAATGTGGAGTTTGTCGAGTATAATGTGTTGGATGGATTACCTTATGAAGATTCGTCTTTCGATTTCGTTCACCAAAAAATTATGATTGCTGCTTTTACGGAAGTGCAATGGGAAGAAAGAGTCATCCCAGAAATGACAAGGTTAACTCGACCAGATGGATGGGTCGAGTTATTAGAATCTGATGGCTATTTTATATCTGATGGTAATGCTACAAATAGAATTTCAAAAGCATGTAAGCAAAGTTATTTTTTGTGTGTGCCTTTTTGTATCTTTAATTAAAATAATAAATTTCATTTAATTTTGAGTCCAAAATTTCCTTACGTCGAAGGGAATGAACTGTAAAATTGGGGAAGAGATTCCACGCCTTCTTGAAAACACAAACGCGTTTTCGGAAATTAAAAATAAAAAAAAAGTTATAGTTTTAGGGAAAAAAGGTGGTAAAGCTGGGCAAGAGGTAATATAAAAAATTATTGAATTTATTCGCAAACATACAATTATAAGCTTCATTAAAATAAATACTCTTTTCTGCTTGCTTGCATATAAAGACTCTAAGGTTTTGTACTGTCGGTATCAACTCTTGCAGGATCATTTTATCGGCCGATATGAATATAATGCCCGAACATTTTGATGCTCTTGTAGAAATCTTCTCTATTGAGGCGGAAAAAACTACTACTTGTCTTAATCAACATCGAATTTATGGTCATAAGAAAATTTGAAAAAATATACGTATCTAAAAGTACATTATAAAGTAGCAGTTCAAATGACTTTTGTAACATTTGAAACTTTATAAACAATTCAACGACAGATACATTTGCGATATACGTACGTACTTGTAATATATATTTAAGCCAATAGACGACAACATTCTTTTGGACAATATGCTGTTTATTTACGATATTTTGAATAGCCGAATAATCAAATAAATCAAGGAAATCAACTTTTATATTATTTATTGTTGCGTTTTGGCATACTTTGGGACGCGTAAAATAAAAATATGATATTTTTAATGGTATACTATTAAATCGAAAGTCAAAATTATGGCACATAATTAAATCTCGAAATTACGAAATTCGTGAATAGAATAACAAATTAATGAAATAAATAAATATAAAGTAAAAATCAAAAAAGTATATCATCCAAGCTCGTAAAATTTTCTCAGTTCGATAAGTTTTTCTCTGTTTGAAAAACAAAGTCATATATATCGCATTCCAAAATATGAAGAGAACATTTGAACAGTACTAACTCTCTTTTTATAGTGGGACCAATAATTATTCAAAATTTCGTCAACACATCAACCTGCATTTATTTTTCTTTGACTTGTAATTTAAGCTAAAAATGCCTCTCGCCTATTCACACTGGCATAAATTTGTTCGTACATTTTTGTCTTCATAGGACTCTGAATGTTACACAACAACTAAAGTATTTTTTGCAAAACAAAGGATACAAAGGTATGTAATAGTGATGGCTTTACAACTTTTATTATTAAAAACAGTCAATCATATAAAACACTATGAAAAAGCATATTTCAAGCCTTCAGTAGTTTTACCCTGTTTTGTTATCAAAGAATTTCAGCTATAAAGTGTTCTGTATGTAAGTATTAAGAAATATTAACTATTAGCATTTCGAATTTAGGAAAATGGGAATTAGTTTAATATTCCTACGGTAATTTTCAAGATAGATGGAGGATTTTCTATTAACATTGTCCATTACCGATTCTTTGGAAAGTACCTTTCAAGTTCTACCTAAATTAAAGCAATACGTATACGTATCATGTACTATGTTTATAGTTGCATAACGATAAATATACGTATGTAGGAAAGATCTCTATTGTGTCCGTTCAATTAGAGAAAAATTTTCAAAAATTGACTATATCGAGAGTTTACTAGCAAATTCATTATAGCGCGAGGATTTTATTATAGATGGTTTGAACCCAAATTCACTGTAACGAGAATTTAATTATAGACTCGACTGTATGAGTAAATAATAAATATAAAATACAAGTTTTGAGTCTAAATATTTTATTTTCGGCGATTTATAAATGCCTAAATTCAATAATTATGATACGTAGCATCTATAGATTTACCTCCAAATATTCTTTTTTAAATAACTAAGAACATATATACACAGCGAGTTATTCTAGGAAGGAATTTTCAGTAAATTAAAATATTTTGATAAAAATGATAAAGGGCAATATATGTGTACGCGAAATTATTTGTGGATTTATAATAAGAAGTAAGCTAAAACATTGTAAACGAAATATGAACGTTCATAAGCCACAAACAAGGTTCGAGTAATTTATAATAAGAAAGCGATCGAATCATTTAAGGATTCTAACAAAACGAAAGATTTGGTAAGTGTACGAAATATATGAACGAGTAATTTATACATGTACGTAATAAGTAATCGATTGAATCATTAAGCCAATAACTCGAATTAATTGAAAGAGATCTATAAGGGTATCTAAAGTTATCGAACGTTTGAATTTATACGTAAATGGATAAACTAGTAAATATAAAAGTTAATCCGAAACATATGCTCAGAAAAGGGCCTATTTTATCAGTTCACGGATTAAATTTTGTATTTACTTCATAGTAAAGACAATTATCCGTTTTATAAAATACGTACAAACGTTCGATGACTTTAGATGCTATGCACTATATCACTATTATTATTCTTTGTTTGTACTTTCACTATCATTGTCTTCTGATTTGATAAGGTAAATGTTTTTTTCTTCATTTCAGTTTTTTTATTTCCTGGTACTTGTGTCAACATTTTAGAGTATCTTTGACCAAGAGAAAGAGCGAATACGAGAAACGGTAAAACGATTTCATTGTTTATTATTGTTACAATATTGATATCAAAAAATAAAGTCAAAAAGAGAATTTCCAAAAAGAAACTACGAAATTAAAAATTTTCTTTTAAATTATGCGAGTTTTTTATATTTCGGAACTTTTGAGATTTAATTAATATCGAAAAATTTTTTATATTCCAATTTTTTTAGCGCGTATTTTTTTGGACTAAAAATTGTGGGCAAATTTGCACAAAAAATAGATCAAGCTAATTTGATTAATTCTGGTCAAAAGTAATTTAGCCTGTACATTCGACACATTACTATTAAACTTTGACGCGAATGCCACAATTTATTCCGTATTTAGGTCTTTGGCAAAGTTAATCGAATTTAGGATTTTTGCCAAAAAGTCCTTTATAAATTTAATAATTCAATAAGTATTTATTCATATTACGTCGTGTCAACATTAATATACTTTACATCAACGGAATTCCTCCGACGACTCAATTAGAACACCCACCTAAAAACATTAAATTTAGTTTATAAAACAGATGGATCGAATTGATTTAATTAATGAAAAATAAGAATGTTCATGTAATGACTTTACGATAGGTAGCCTCTCCATGAATCTTGAAAGACGGAGCTTGATCTGAAGATTCATCCTCGTGAATGTTATCGTCATCTTCTTGCACCAACCAAGCTCTCGTGAGTTCTTCATATTCCTTTTTGTATTTAGGATGACGAATTATTACTTGTCTTACTTTGTCAAGTAATTCGGTGTTCAGGTAATATTCTTTTAATAGGGTCTCGAGAATTTGTACGCGCGCTTCAAGTGAAGAATTTTCTGGTTTATCTTTGACTTTTTCGCTAAAAGGAATTCCCGCTGATGATACATATTTCCATGCTAGTTTTTCTTTGAGAGATCGTCGACAAGGCGTACAGCTGAATAGGAAAATTTGCGCCAACCCCCTTAGGAATTAAAAAATTATAATTAAAAGAAAAATATTTATTTCTTCATAAAAAGGCAGATGAAATCAACTTAATACGCACCATGGTGATATTCTTTGATCGCCAAAAAAAAATACGAATATTCCCACAACGACAGTATAGAAACCCCCTATCTTTGAAACAATTGATGAAGCTTGGGAAAAAGATCAAATCAAAATCAACTCAAATATACTTATGTATTAAACCTCGATATAATTTTATAATTCTCACTTTTTTGTAAAAATCCGTTTGATTCCAATATGGTCATAAGCATCGGTTGATTTGCATTTAGTAGATTTAAACCAATCAACGTATTATTAGCGTTAGTATTGTCGAGTTTAGAAGATAGACTTTGTCGATAGTTTACAACTGCATTAGGGACTGACGATATTTCTTTACTGGTATCAAATGAGTCGAAAAAAGGAACGGTATAAAGTTCTAAACCTAAATCTAATATATATTGAGTTATCGAACCGAAACTGACATATATTGAACTATGCTCTTTAAAAGAAATACTATTATTATATCCGTAATCACTCGTCAAATTGACTTTTTTGAATATTATTTCAATCATATACTTTATCAGTTCGTTGTCTTTAGATTGTGTCAGTTTGTCGTCTGAAACTGTGATCCAAGTTGTGTTGAATGGATTATTGAAATCGGTGAGTACGTTCTCACAAAAAGATGTCACTTTCTCTAAAGGATAGTCACCACTAAAACGTATGAAAGTGTCAATATCGTAAATCCTAGAGAAATTCATTTTCACCAGACAGATGTCAAGGTCTATTCAATTTTGTAGCAAACATACATGTGAATGTATGTGATCAACGAGAGTTTCAAAAGACAAGAGCTTTCATCAAACGACTTACTCAAAACAAGTTTCCTTTTATCGAATTCTATTGGATCAAAGTATAAATTGTAATTATGCAAATTTCGGCTTATTTGGGTGAAATAAAATATCATCGAAAGAGTTGCTAACAAAGCAATTAAAGCTTTGGTCGTTTTGAACCAAAGTGGTTCAGTAGTTCTTTTGTTAAAAATTGCATCAAAAAGAAACATTGCGCATGTACAACTTTAAACGTGAAAATGAGATTCTTTATATATGTACATGTACATGTATAAACTTTCCACGTACGACTGATCATACCTTATCGTTACGTAATTGTACGGACAAAAGAACCACGATTTTCATTTACAGTATTTTTTACGTATCTACGTACGTACATACGTATACATGTAAATATGTTTTATAAAAATTGGAAAACTCCGTTTCTAAGTGAAATAATATTTTGGTTCTCTAGTCTCGACCTTAGTCATCACTTTTTCTTGGTATTATTTTTACTCAATATAATAATAGTTTCCACCTCTGGATTAATCTTACAATATAACAAATTACTCTTCGTGTTATTTTCAGTATTTGTGTTTATTTCCGGACTAATAACTGTAAGTTCAACTAATAGATTACATTTGGTTTGTTATTAACGTTAAGAAACATTTATTCTGATATCTTGCAAAATAATCTTTATAAGTACTGTTTAGAAAATTTGAGACACGCATGCGTCTTTTTAGCATTACAAGTTTTTCCTTGTTTTTATTGTGGCCAATTAATTTATTATCGTGCTGCTTGCATTTCTAATCTTCAATTAATTTCAAACGAGCATGAAGTATTAAACTGTAATTTTAAACAATACAGTAGGTTACAAACAATTTTTTCTTGGGATTAATTTAAAATCGGAAAATTAATTCAATTGTTTAAATTAAAAAGATGAAGAATTTTCGGATATTCGTGAAAATAAATTTTACGATACACTCTGGCTCGTACTTCTCATGTCATCAAATTTGTCATTTTATTTTATTTTTTATTTCTGGTGGATTAAAGAGTAAGTTTCAATAATTTTTGATTCCTAATGTTAAATACATGCTACGTAATCTAATTATCGAGATCTCTTCTATGTAGAAAGTGGTATTTCAAAAATTCGCTAGAAGAAATCAACATCGAAAAAATGAATTGTAGGTATAACCAACCTGTTTTTCTGATTTTTAGTTTAATAGTTTAAGACTCAAACTTGTTTATTTAAGTCGGCTTGCTGTTTTATGGAATGGTTATTACTTTTGTTGCTTTCATTACATTTACAAAATTCTTTTCAAATATCAGCTTTATATAACATATATGAGAGACAAGGCGTTTTATCTCATGCAAACCTCGTATTTTTGGGACTGTCAATGTTTTATATTAACATCGTAAACAGCTACTATAATAAAGAATCGACCAATCCGGTTACAATATTAACATATGCCCTAGTTCCAACAATAATGCTTTTTTTCACCCTTGTAATTATGAGAATTAGTGTAAGTATTTTGTTACTTTGTTCGAAAGTCATATATATATAATCGTTAATCAATTTAAACTATTTAGATACTTGAAACGCCAAAACGAAAAATATATCTATTCTATATTTTATATTCTTCTTTACTAGGTTATATATATTTTATATTCCAATGGAATGAAGTAAAGCCCGTTTGGTCGGTCAATCCACAACATCTACCTGGAGATGTTTTAGGTAAAATTTAATTATTTATCTGAAATAAATCAATTATCTGACTTATTTTTACTTGAATTAAAATAGTTTGTTTGGACATAATAATTGCAATTCTGACATTTATTAATACAATCATATGTCATTGGAAACTCGGGAAAGAATTTAAAATTCTTGGTAAGTGTGAAATTTTGTTCATTTCCTTTTTATTATCCATATTCTTAATAAATTTTCTTTTTTAGTGTGCTATTACGAACTTCCCGAAGCGTATCAATATAAAGATGAGAATGATAGTGATAATGACAGTGATAATGATAGTAATTGTGATGTATGATTTAATATTTGTTAAAATAATTTTTAAAAAAGAAAATTAGCTTAACGGGTTAAACAACCGTTTTTAGTTATTTCTTAACAGTTTAACCTGCCTTATGTGAATTGTGTTTATTTTATATTCAAAATTATTATTCTAGACCGGCAATTCATAGGAAAAACTAATTGATCCAATAAAGCATTGATGGGTTTTACATATCTTTAGGATGATAAATCATCACCTGCTTTACTTTGTCAAGTAATACAGTATATATCCAGTAATTCTTTCAAGTGTCTCGGAAATTTCGATGAATCTTCAAAGTAGATTTAGCATTGATTTAGACAGTAAATCTCGAGAAAGATTAGTAAAATATAAACAATAATTGGCATGATTTCAAAAAATAAAATAAATTAAATCTTAACGTTAAATACTAAAGTTATGAAGTTTATGCTAAAATCAATGTTTTTTAATCAATTTATTTTGTGAGCCTCTATTTTTCGAATTAGCAAATTGTGCCAATTTAACTTTTTTCTGTGTAAGATTTACGAGTTCCGTTAATTTTCATTCATTTCAATAATTGGAGCATAATAATAGAAAGTTAAAATTCGGTTGCATAAATATATTTACTTTGGTTGAATATCGCTCAAATTTTCTTAAAATATGAGATTTATGACTAATAAAATTTTTTTTAAAATGCATGTTAAAATATAAATTATTTTATTTTGATATAAAAATTTCATAAAATTTAATTATAAAAGATTGTGTGTAGTCAACTTTACAATCCAAAAAAATTTACTAAAAATTCGAATTTATTATTATTTTGAATTAATTAATTTATATTTAAATAGAAAATTATTAGTCGCTTTTGTTACTATAATATATATGTGATAAATAAAAAATTCGAATTATTATTATTTTGAATTAATATAATCAATTGCTTTGACTATCATTTCTAATTGATAATGCTTAATTGGTTTATTTCAGTTAACTAGTTAAAGTTTCTTATGCAATTAACTATTTTTAAATATAAATATTTTTAAATAAGAATTTAAACTTGCGGCTCCAATCAAATCACTGAACTTCAAAATCTAGCAATTTAATTGGTCACTATAAATACGTAACTAACTCATAGAAAATTGAATACAATGATAATTAAAATTCATACATGTATAATAATATTTTTTATATCAGAATACCGGAACCAGTTTTTTTGCACACTACAAATATATTAGTATTACATGTATTTATTTCATGGGGTAATCTTATTTCTTCTATCATAAACTTTCTCTTTCTTTTGCTAATTTCTAAAAGTAATAGAATCAAAAAAAATGCCAAAATCTGACTCCCGATTTGTTTCGTCAACTAAAGAAGTGATTTTAGAATTCCAGCAAGCATCCAGAAATATAAATACAGATAATCTAAAAAGTTTCATAATTACGTATTGTTAATCATGCGTGAAAAATTATGATGAAGGTTGTCATGAGTGACAGAACGACAGGGGATTATTATATATATATATATATATACAGTCAGACCTCCCTAAATGCAACTCGTCGGGACCATACAAAAACTTTCACTAGAGAGATATTGCATTTATGGAGGTAAAAATACATATATCGATATATCTTATAAGTTGGGGCCAAATTATAATAATTGCACTTAGGGGCGATCTGACTGTATATATCAGTACTGCTATATATAATGGTAACAAATCACTATAAAATAAAATACATGGACTATCAAAATGAAAATATTATGAACCATAATATCCTTAACTCTAATACTATAAATCAAACATTATTTTTCCTCTCTATGCTTGATCTAGTTATTATCAATCAATCACTTCAAGTTTCAACAAGTTTGGAAATTTTAAAGAAAGTGATATTGAAAATAAATATATATTATCAATTTTTTCAGTATTCATTTTTTACAAATGTTCATATTAACAATTGTTACCTATTTCTCACAAATATCTGCATAAACAATTACTACTAAATGAAAAAGAAAGTGCTCAAAGCCAAATACAAGCTGGATATAAAAGTAATCTGATAAAAATAAAAGTGAAGAGATTGCCAAATTTAAAGTTATAGGATGTCTTTGCATTTTTCATATTAATTATGCTCATCTTATACTTTTAATGAACTTTTTGTAAACTATATCAATACATTATATTTGCATTACTTATAATTCTGGATCAATATTAGAATAACAGCATTCTTTAAGGTGTGTAGTACTGAAAGGATCAAAATGAGATATTGTGATCAGATTGAAGAATTTGACGTCGAAGTTCACGTGGTTGCAGCAGCTTATATTATTATCGTTAGTCAAATACAGGTTAACATATGATGTTAATTCCGAAACGTAAAAATATACTTTCTTAATTGATTTTCTCGTAATAGCGATAGTGATAGAAATAAAAAGAGTCGTTATCATTTTATCTCTACATAAAGCCAGTTGATATAAAAACCCCAAAGTAGCATCGTTTTCTGAATAATTTTATTATCCGAGAAACATATTTTAATGCTCATCTTCTTAGAATTTGCCTCCTGAATAATTTAACAGTAGCCGAGCCTCGTGGGTAAGATGCTTAGATAAGATTCATAATGAATTTAACTTTAAACTAACTTCTGAAATGAGCGGTAAGGATTAATTTATATTTAGGATTGTATTTATTCTTTTTTTTGCGTAACTACTGCCATTTTCAACTGCACTCTTATACCATTCTTTAGCTTTAATAATATCTTTAGAAACACCGATCCCTTCTTCATAACATACGCCAAGCTTACATTGTCCTCTAGCATTTCCACCCTCTGCTGATTTCAAATACCACTCGAATGCTTTTTTGTCATTCTTTTGTGTTCCAATTCCTTTTAGATAACAATAGCCAAGATTACATTGTCCTATAGCATTTCC